AGTTTTCCCACGAGCATGCAGACGTGCTCACACTCCCAAAGTTTTTCCTATTTCAGGTGACGGAGTCCAGCGTGCCGGGAGAACAGACGTGGCAAGGGTGGTCATGAGCAGCGGACATTTTTAGTTTGACTTCCGCTAAACCAGAGGACATGTTTAAAGCAGAGGACATGTTTTCAGTTTAAAGATTCCGCTAAACCAGACAGTGCGAGACAGTCAGACTGCATGTGTGATTCCATTATCTCCATAGTGGATTGATTTGGTTGCATGTTTTATTATGTCTGCATGAGTAAGATAAGAAAGTTTTCGTATCATCCCGCAAGTAAGAAAGTATTTTCAAAAACCAAGCTCGCATTCTTTCAAAAATGAAAAGAAAAATTTTACCCTGATTTTCACTATTCAAAGCTAAGAAAGGCGGGGTGTTACAGTTTGACTTCCCTTTGACCCGTTAACTTGTTTTACATGTCGAGTATGTCTTAAATGATTTTAATGGATTTTTCGAGTCTAGTGGTCTACTTCAAAGGTTACAAACTCCGCTAAAGGACCCACGAATCACTTAGTCGATAATGTTCGACTAAGTGAATGTGTTGTATATGGCTTTAAGTGTCAGAATAGTTGTTGATAGGACTATTCTTGATGAATGTAGGTGTTTGACGAGCCGTGCTCTCATCCTACTAGCTTTTGTGTGTTACCTTCTGCTTCATGATCCAGGTGGGTTATTTAAATTGCTATGAGATAAATTGATGTTATATGTATGGTATGATCAATGTATGCATGTGAACCATGTAGCCTTGGATGTTAGCTGTACCGGTAATCGAACGGTTATCCCAGTAGCTATAGAACGCCCCGAAGGGGTAATCTCCTCTTTAAGTCCTTTGCGAAGGACGCGTCGCCTGTAAGACCAGGGCATAGGTCCTCGGTCGGCGATCAGTACCTTGATGTAAGTCCAAGGCAGAAACCTTGGCCGTCGGAGGAGACTCTTACTGTTAGGGCATTGTTATAAGGCCTGAGTGAAGGAATATGATACGTGGACCAGCAGTAGTCTATGCGTAGGTATGCACATGAGAACAAACTTGGGATATGAGATGGGATAGTAAATTGATTCGTATACATGCTGCGACCATACCTATCTTATATTATTTGTTATTTATTTGCATAGTGGTGAGCACCACGGATTCCATACGTGCTCATCCCCACTTTTTCTTCCCAGATGCAGGATAAGAAGGTTGCGGGCACAGCGAGGCGAGGCGAGTGGTGGTCGGTCTAGATGACTAGACTATTGTTTGTTCTGCTTCCGCTTTACTTGAGATTTATTTATGACTTGGATATTTTCGAACTCAGGATATTTATCATGCTTTGAAAACACTTTTGGGGAGATGCCCCGTTTGACATTATGATGTCTTTACTTTGGGATTTGGAAACCCGATTTGGGTGTTTGTTGACTTTGGATGAAACCCTTGATGGGGTGTTGATTTATGTTTGAATGTCATCGCTATGACTGTTATATATGATATTGACTTTGAAATAAATGAGTAACGCCACAAATGTTTGAAATGAATTTTGAAAAATTAAATTGATTTTTCTGAAAAGCCATGGATTTTCGTTATATCAAAGTGGGGTGTTACACAAAAGTTCGGCCTTAAGCCGTCACATCCTTTGAACAGCACCCAGGATCATAAGAGCTCGGCCTTATCCGTCACACCATTTGAACAGCACCCGAGCTCGCAAGAGCTCGGCCTTAAGCCCTCATACTATCGAACAGCACCCGAGCTCGCCAGAGCTCGGCCTTAAGCCGTCACACCCTTTGAACAGCACCCGAGCTCGCAAGAGCTCGGCCTTAAGCCGTCACACCATTGAACAGCACCCGAGCTCGACCTTAAGCCATCACACCCTTTGAACAGCACCCGAGCTCGCAAAAGCTCGGCCTTAAGCCGTCACACCATCGAACAACACCCGAGCTTGCCAGAGCTCGGCCTTAAGCCGTCACACCATCAAACAGCACCCGAGCTCGCCAGAGCTCGGCCTTAAGTAGTCACATCCTTTTAACAGCACCCGAGCTCATAAGAGCTCGGCCTTAAGCCGTCGCACTTGCTGTACTTTATTACGAGCATTTTACACTTAGACCAAAAAGAAAAATTTGCTCAAAAGTACTTCATAATGCATAAATTTGTCATTCACACTTAGTTCATTCATCAAGCCAAAACACAAATGTTTCAACAACAACTCAGAGTGATCATTAATTCAACAACCAAATCACAAAGTGTTTCAAAAACAACTCAAGAGTAACCAATAATTCCGCAACCAAATCACAAGTGTTTCAAAAGCAACTCAAGAGTTACAATCAAACTATCAATAATACTTCTTAAGATTTGCAACATTCCAAGGCCTAGGAAAGACCTTACCCTATGGATCTTTCAGCTCATAAAAGTATGCTTGGATATAAAATAAATCCGATTTGGCCCAAAATCTATACACCAGATACTTTTGAGATAACCCGACTGTTTTTGCTTACACGTCTGAAGCCACCATTTATCGTGGGACCCTCCAATAATTGTGTAGGCGGCTATTTTTATACATGTAAATTAACCGATAATTTGAACCCCATTTATAATATAATATTGGCGTGGGTTCTCCTTCTGCTCATAGTGGACAGTTTTCAATTCACCAAAAACCACGTTAATGGGAAGAGGAAAAAAATATTAAAATAAAATTGTACACATCAATAGAATTACAGAATTACATAAATAAAATAAAACATACGTAAAAACACCATAACATCAATTCTAGAATTACATGCTCAAGATTTTCACAGTGGCTACACAACAGAAAATGCCAAGAAAAAAAAATAAAAATAAAAACCATGTCGGGCACGCGATTAACATTATTGACGAATCCGTTATCGCCGAGGTGTTAGGGACTGGTTGTCTCCATGTGGTAGCGGTATCAGAAAATTCTATTGTATGCATGTTTTCTGCAGTTGTTTGGGACGAAGTACCGTGAGCATTCTTGAATTTACTCTGACTTGATTGGGAAGAATAATGACGGTAAACATCGTCCGCCCAAATGAAACACCGGTTGTGTTGTTGACGAGCCGGACAATGGAAAAAATATTTTCCATAGTTTTTTTCGGTTCTTGCCATTAAAAGGATCATACGACCACTGCCACACAAGCACAACGAAGCTTCCATATTCAAATATTTTTTTTTTTTTGGGAAAGGGCTGTGGTTTGGTGAAACAAATAAACATAAAGGGCCATTTTTATAGAAGCAACAACACGGTCATACACACTTCCTCCAGTCGTCAAAACCAACAAGTTCCTTTTTCGATCATTTCTATTTATTTTTTTAAATCTGTATCTCTAAACCGGGAATCTTGTCGGTGTTCTGACTCTGTAATGTGAACAGAGGCTACAGCTGCGTGTTTCCTGTAGGAAGAAAAAACAAAATAAATAAATAAAATGAAATCAGCAGCTTTACAGGTTGTAGGCAGGGTATGGGTGAGAAGAAAACTGTATGACTTTGTTTGCCTCACAGCAATAATACAACTCATTTGCTTCACAGGCTGAAAAATAAAAAAATTTTGACAGGCTTTGCTTGTTGCTCCCATACCAATAATAGAGGTGATTTGGACCCTCCTTCCACATGCTTTTGACTGCTCTGCATGCAACATGGGCGAGGTAAAAAAAAAATAGTCTTTCTGCTTGATAATTGACTGAACGACACGCAGAAGAAAATTTTTTTGAACAGGCTTTACAGGTTGTTGCCTTAGAGCAATAATTGAGTTGATTTGTGTAACATTTATTGTCGGCACAACACCGGTTCCATTTGTTATCGATATTGTATTTTTTGTTGTATTCGTTTTCTCCCGACCTGAAATTATCGCAAACGAAGGTGTTCAATTTAAAACGTTCGTGTTCGGTAACAGTTGTTCCTTTTTATACTGATCAAATCGGATAACAAAATACAGATGTCCATAAACGAAAATTTCTGCGCAATAATCTATCTTTGTACAATCACTAAATGAAGCACAATTTTTCTATCTAATTTATCACTTTTGTTTTGAAGAAATGTACTTATTACATTATCAAATTGAATTCAATGTCTAATGTTGTTAAAACCGCTTTTTTTGGGAACAAAGCACACCCGAGTTTCGATTGTGTTCAAAAAAATGGTGTTATGTTATTTTTAATGAAATCGGAGCGGAAATTGGAAAAATACCACTTCATAAGGGAAATTTTCAATAAATATGTACGTACATAGCATAATATATCAATATGGAACCACAAATAAATATTAATAAATATCGGTGTTGAATAATATCATCTTCCGTTCACTTGTGAAAACGAAATTACGGTGTTGAATAATTATAAATAATTTACCCTACAAGAATTAGTTAAAGAAATGTTCATTAATTTATGCAAACCAGGTACTAAACATTTTGCAACAATACATAATATAGAAAATTGAAAATACAATGACACTGTGAATCGAAATATGGTGCAAAATGGTCGTTATATTAATGCCTCCTTCTACGCGTCGCCTGGCGCGCATCTTCGGCCAATTGTCGGCCACCAATTGTCCAAAAGTCGGAAAATCTGGGTGCCTTTTCCATGACTGTTCGTCTGGGAAGTCGTCCAGGCTTAAATCGGCAAATGTCCTTGTAAGGGTATCCCACATAGGCTCTGGATTGTTAAAATAATGCTCTGATAGTGCTCAGTGCTGTAGCATAAATATAAAGGAAATACAACGTGAAGCATGGGAAAGTACGTCAATGAATGAGTTTTAAAATATGGTTTTATGACAAATATACTACACACTAAATTAGACGTCAATTCCATTTACCTCGATTGCAATCTCCCTTTGATACCCGTCAAGATGTACGTATTTTTCGGTGACGTTCACAACCACGTTCGGTGTGTTCATCAAATATTTAAATGTACGGTACCTTTCTTTTATCATCATGAACGTGACATAACACTCTTTGAAGGTGAGAGTCGGATCAATTTATGTCAGACATGCTTGGCGAATATTTTCGAAGGCGTCCAAGATATCAGACTCTTTTGTCATGCCCTTTGTCTGAACGAATCCTTGGATTATTACACAAAATAATTCCTCCGCAGATGAATTCCATTTATTTGCAAATCCTTCTCGCACACTCTTATCTTTTGGCAATGGAAAGGTGAATATGTTTTCTTGGATGGTGTGTCCACAGAAGGCCTCATTGCAAGTGTATTTATAACCAAAACCTAAGAAAAAACAAGAAACATAAAGGTGTGTGTGAGGATATTACTTGTAAGCCATGGGACCCTTTTCATAATTTTTGACGGTTGAAATTAATTGGTGTTAGTTCAACTACATTGTCCGTGTGATGCACGAGTCACATATATTTAATCTATGTGTTCAATAATATGTAAGGAAAATTCATTGTACATACTATTGATGTTTGTAATTTGCATCTGAAGGCTTGGTACTTTCTTTTACATACTACAACATGGAAATAAAATTTGTCAAACTATTCATAATTGAAAGAAGCCATATTTAAAAAATGATGATAAATTAATACTTCACAAACGTTTTAAAAAAAAAAAAAAAAATTAGCGAAGTAGGTTCAAAGTCATTATTTTTTACAACATAAATTAATTAATATATCTAAGACCTAAATTTTTTGGTGTTTCAGGTTATTCTTTTCATGCGGACAGCTCAGCTCTTAAAATGCGCCCAGGTCTTAAAATGCGGACAGCTCTTAGCAACTATAGACAACTAACCTAGCAACAGAGAACTAACCTAGCAACTACAGAGAACTATCCTAGCTACTACTAAACTAGCAACTACAGATAACTAACCTAGAAACTACTAACTTAGCAACTACAGAGAACTAACCTAGCAACTACAGCGAACTAACCTAATAACTAGTAACCTAACAACTACAGAGAACTAACCTAGTAACTACTAACCTAGCAACTACAGAGAACTAACCTAGCAACTACAGAGAACTAACCTAGCAACTACTAACAAAATTTCCCTAGCAAATGCTCTCCCTTCTCTCTAACTTTCTCTCTCTTCAAACTCATCTTCCCCATTTCTCCACCATTTCTCAGTCCAAACTTCTGATTCATAGCTGTTTGCCGGCGGGCCACCACCGCCGCCGCCTCTGGCGGTGAGCCGCCTGACCTCCCTTCACCTACCTCCCTCTTATCCGGTCCCAGTTCATCCATATATGGCCTCGATCCCGATTCCGCCTGCTCCCCCGTTTCTGCGAGTTCAGGCCACACAACCGGAGCAACCTTCCCTCCGAGCTCCTTCTCCTCAACCTACAACACCGGTAGTCAACCCCGACCTTAATTCTTTGATTTCAATGGAAGTAATGAAAGCCCTCCAAAAACTCCTATCGCCGAGCTCAAATTTAGAGGAGGGAGAAATACCTCCGCAGGTCACTGAAATTTCGTGTGGCCCCGTCGCTGGAATGGAGGTCCCTAATCTCCGACCGAGTGAAAGACGTTGTCCGGTGACGTTTGGGTCCTTGCCGTCGGAAGTTCCCCCATCGGTCAACCCTAAAACATTTGCTGCAGACGGCGTCACAGGGAATCCTTCCCCCCAGCTCCCCGATGACGTGGCTTCGATCTCAACCCTCCACGAGAATAATCCCAATTCCCTCAGCTTTCCCTCAACTATCAGATCTGGACCCAATTCCCCCATCAAAATTCCCAGGCCCATATCACAACCTCATACTGGCATTTCAACTGGGCCCAATCTTCTCAAGCCCAGCCAGCGACCAAACCAACCCACACAAGACAACCACAAAACCAAGTTAAGCCCAGACACAATCCAGCCATCTCAGCCCTCAACCCACACCTCACGAGCCCTCAGCTTTCTGGCCCACGACCTGCCACAACCCTCGTCAGCCCAGCCCGGACCCTCTCAACCCGCACCCAACCAAATCAGCTCTCATCCCGTCAACCGCAACATCCAACCTGCTGACGTCGTCCACCCGGCAGCTTCCGCCCCCTCCGGCCACCTCCATGCCTCCATCGACATCCAACCGACCAGAGACGGCTGTCGGACCTACGCCGGAGAACCTCAGCAGACAGGTCTCGGAATTCTCGGGGCCCAACCAACCTCACCATCTTTGACCGTCCATCACGCCGGAATAGCCTCTTCTGCTCCTGTCCCCACCAACGCCAACAATACAACCTCCCAGCCCGTCACTCTTCCCTCCGGCCAAACCGTCTCCTTCCCTCAACCTCTCTCTCATCCCAAACCCACTGCCCTCCATCAGAACGGCGCCACCACTATCCAACCGGCGGTCACCGATCATCTGCCTTCTGCCGGCGCCGGAATCGTCACGGTCACTGGAGAATCACAGTTGGTCGGTCCTCCACCCAGGTTGGCATCGGGTTCGGCTATCTCGACCGAAATTCTCGGGCCCCTACCAAAATCACCCTCTCCGACCAATCAACTTGCCGGAGCTGCAACTTCTGCGTCCGGAAAAACTGATCTTGCCGTAATGTATGTGCGAGAAGACAGGATTGTGCTTACGGGCCCGTACAAGACATCCGCGTCTCATTTTACCGGACCTTCCCTGAACGGGACACCATCGACGGACCCTTCCATGGCTAACCTGGGTGCCCCGCGGCCGACACCGAACGGGACACCGCCGATGGGCCCCCCAATAGCAACTGCACCCGGCTCCCTGCCGGGCACTTCCACTGACCCGCTCTCTTTCCGAGAGGCTATTACGGGGAAGAGAGATGAAGTTTCAGGCGACAAGATTACCCTGCGGTCGACACCCAAGGAGTTCCTCTTTGACGGGGATTATGACCAGGCTTGCGGGACCATCATCCGCTCGGAGGGGAACAAAGTGAAGGTCCGATTCTCACAGGCCGAAGCTGACACCCTCGCAGGTAAGTTAGCGAACACACTGGTCTTTAAGTTCACCTATGCTATCCCTCCCCCCCGAGACCTAGCTGCTGGATTAGGAAAATTGGGATTTAAAGGTAGGTTCTCATTTAAGTGGTATAACTTCAATCATCTTCTAGTCACTTTTAATCCCTCTGAAGATTATAATGAGGCATGGCTTAGGACTTCTATTTTTGTGCGTGGATGCCCAGCTAGGGTATTCAAGTACACTTCCGGGTTCACCCCGAAGACGGAGACGCCGGTCGTCCCCGTGTGGTGCCGCCTCCCTGGCCTTCCACCACATCTGTATGACCGGGATTCCATCACCACACTTGCTAAGTGTGTCGAAAAACCGGTCCGCATTGATGCCCTGACTGCTCTCCAGTCCAGGGCTAATATGGCGCGGTTCTGTGTCGAGATTGATCTTAGAGTGGAGCCTATCCACGAGATTGAGATTGAGCAGGGTTCGGAGACTTTTGCTCAGCGGGTGATCTACGAGAAGATCCCCGCTTTCTGTTCCGCGTGTAGTTATGTTGGTCATATAGCGGCCGACTGCTATATCAGTGGCAATAAGCCACGACCCGCTCTGCCTCAGCACCGTCGTACGGCCCAGCCGGGACCCTCCAACAGCTGGAGAAAACCGAAAGGAAAGGGCAAAGGCCCACTCCAGACACCCGGGTCCCCAAAGGGGGCCACGGATAAGGCCAAGGCGAAGATGGACGCCACTGCCCAAATTGGGAAGGATTCTCATCCTGACCAGTCAGACCAAGTGATCATAGTTGGGCCCAAGGCCAAGGCTACGGGCTTTATTCCCAGAGAGACACTTCAGTCGGCCTTCAAGGCCAAACACTCGTTCATTGCACCCCTCTCCCCTGAGTCACAGGATGAGGCTGAGCCTTCCTCTAGGGACCCACACGGTCTTTCGGATCTTGGCCTTTTAGAGGACGACGACCTCCTAGTAGATGATCTAGAGCAGCCGACCACTTCGCCAACTGGCCCGGCCACCCATTTATCTCACGACAGCATCCGTGATGCTGTCCCTTTGTCTGTCCTCCCACATAGCCAGGATTGCTCTCTGGAGATGAGGACAGCTCCTGCCACCGCTTCCTCGAAAGGGGAATTGCCGGCCCACCTCCCCTCTGCGGAGATTGAGATTTCGACTGAGCCTATAGCTCTCCAGCGACACTCTGACGGCGAGCACCCGAGCGCTCTGCCGGATGGAGTCTCTTCCCCTCCCCTCTCTGAGCAGGCATGCAGTCTCAAACGCGCTCAGCACGACGTCTCGTGTGAGAGTTTTGCCTCTAGTGCTTTCGTGCACCATGACAGACAAGAGGCATGCTCGGACATGGGGCAGGCACCTAGTGTCAGTCTTGTTCAGACTGGCAGCCTGACGATTCGCAGGCCACGAGCGCTTTCTGAGGGCGTTCCCCTTCGAATACCATACCCACACCGTGCATGACGAGGCGGACCGTCTCTCCGGTTCTTCGTCGATCCTCTCGCCACCTACCCCCTCCCTCAGGTGGTCTGACTCAGCCTCGCCACAGGCGGACCCTATCCGGTGGCTCTTCTGATTGTTGATATGTCTATCACGTCCATTACCTGGAATGGACGGGGACTGGCTAATAGGGCCACTCTCGCTCACCTTCGCTCTCTCATTCGTGATCATAGATTGGATTTTGTCGGCTTTATTGAGCCGATGATTCGCACCCCTGACTTTGACTATTTCTCACGTCGTCTTGGTTTTCATTCGGGCGTGGGTAACATTTCTCATAAGATCTTCTTCTTCCACTCGCGTGACTACACTTATCGGGTCCTCCGGGACACCGATCAGGTGCTTCATGTCGAGCTTTCTGCTGCCCATCTCCCTGAGCCCATATTTCACACATTGGTTTACGCCAAGTGTAATAGAGTCGGGAGACACGATCTGTGGGACACCCTGCGTGAGATTGCTGAGAGTATGGAGGGATTGCCATGGATGGTTAGTGGCAATTTCAACATCTTTCTGCACCCCGATGAGCGTGTGGGTGGCCGCACAGACCGGTCCCGGGAGATGTGGGACTTTGCTCGGACTGTGGTGGACTGTGAGTTGATAGATGCTGGATGTGAGGGTGAGCCCTTCACATGGGTTAGGGACGACCTCAGAGAGAGGCTCGACCGTGCTTTGGTCTCTGAAGCGTGGTCGAAGGTGTTTGCGGTCACGACCGTCACGCATCTCACTCGATTTGGGTCTGACCATTCATCACTCCTCATTAGGTGTCGCTTCTCGAGCACTCCCCGCCGCGCTTCCTTTAGGTTCCAGAACATGTGGGTTCGCCACCACTCTTTCCATGACACTGTCAAAGATTCCTGGCTCCAACCGACTGGGCTCTTCGGGATGCGCAATCTCGAAGCTAAGCTCGGCAGATTACGGCGTAGGTTGAGACAGTGGAACTGGGATGTTTTTGGAAACCTCCATCAGCGCCTTTCTGCGGCTCAGAGTGCGCACGTGGAGGCTGAGCAGGCCTATGACCTGGATCCCAATCCGGAGAATAGGACTGCGATGCACCGCTGCCACGCCGAGTACCAGCTCCGACTCCTTATGGAGGAGGATTTCTGGAAGCAGAAGGCGGCCATTCGCTGGGTGGCAGAGGGCGAGCGGAACACCAGGTTCTTCCAGGGCTTCGTTAGACAGAAGCGTGCTAAGTCGTACATCCATAGATTGAGGCAGATGGGTCATCCCTGACCCAGGAGTCTCAGATTCGGGAGTCGGTTGTTGCTCACTTCCAGACCCTCTTCACCTCTGACAGATGGTCCCTCGTTGCCCCGACCGTCTCTCTCTTCCCTACCATCCCTCCTTCGGTCGACCTTGTCGACCTCTGTGAGCTTCCAAGCAGGGAGGAGGTTAAGGATGCTGTTTTTGGGATTGATCCCAACAGCGTTTCTGGCCCCGATGGGTTCTCTTTCCTCTTCTATCAGGTCTGCTGGGATATAGTCAAGCTTGATGTTGAGGAGGTGGTATTGGATTTCTTCACCGGTCACTGGATGCCGGATTCCTTCACGGCTACCTCTGTCGTCTTGATTCCCAAAAGACCCAATCCGAGCTCTTGGTCCGACTACAGGCCCATCAGCCTGTGTAACGTGACCAATAAGCTTATTTCGAAGATTCTTAACGGCCGTCTTTCCCCTATTCTCCCCTCCCTCATCTCTCCGAACCAGAGTGGCTTCGTCAAGGATCGGGTCATTAGTGATAACATACTTTTGGCCCAGGAGATGATCCACGATATCTCCCATGCAGACTGGAAGCGAGTTCCGAACATTGCGTTGAAGCTAGATATGGCTA